AAGGGATTTGCCTGATATGATTCATGACAAGTGAGTAAGTGCAGCCCACACTCAAGAGGTAGGGAGTTAGACTCCAACTCTTGAAGGGAGCAGTAGGCAAAAATTTGGGTGGGCATGTCTTCAACCCCCCCCATAGGTAATATGAAGATGTTTCCAAAGGAAGTGAAACCCACTGCTGTCACGTAAGTGGATTCTGACTCCGTGACCCTGTAGGACAGAGGAGAACCATTCCCTGAGGTTCCAAGGCTGTAGATCTTTACAGAAGCAGACTCATCATCTTTCTCCAGCGATTTGGGTTGGAACTGCTAACCTTGCTGTAAGCAATCCAATGCTTAACCCACCACACCACTACAACAAACCAGCCAAACCCACTTCCATCAAGTCAATATCTGAGACTGCAGATCTTTACAGGAGCAGACAGACAGCCTTACCTTTCTCCTCCAGAGCAGCTGGTGGGTTTGAACCACCAACCTTTAAGTAAGCAACCCAATGCCTAACTGCAGTGTCACCAGGGGTTCTGTATGAAGCAGTTATTCCCCCTCAAATCCATAAACTCAATGCAATGCCAATAAAACATCACTTTTTAAAAGAATTGTAATAAGCTTACATCATAATTTAGAAAAATAAGGACTCAGCTGTGACAAACTTCAAAAAGAAAAGTTATGATAGGGGCTTGCCCAACTAGATATAAGACCTACTAAAGACCATAGTAATTAAAAGAAGAAGGAAACTGTGTTAGCCCAAGGGTTCACAAGTAGATCAATGGAACAGAAAAAAATAGGGAGAGATCGAGATAGGAAGAAGAAGGATGGGATAGATTGCTTACTACAAGGGTAAGTTAAAAAAAAAAGATTCTAGGACTTCAGTGCATATATGTATGGGTTTATTAAAGTATGTTTAAACCTGTCTCCGTGATCATTGGATGGCTGCAGACAAGTTCTCAAAAATGTCCTTGTCTTAGTCTCATTAGAATGCCTTTCAGAAAAAGATCCAATCAAAACTGGCCTCTGAGGGGCTCTGCTGGGCAAATTAAAATCAAAGCAAAGGGGTCAGTTGAGAAGATTATGGTGACTGTATTTTGAGATTCCAAAGGAGTAATCTTGATACAGGGGCTTATTAGAAAAACGTTTAAAGAAGGCAAAGCTGTGTGGTTGAGCAAAGAGGAAAGTTGTACAGAGGCATTTTTCCTGATGGTGACAATGCACCAAAGACTGTCGTAGGAGAATTTCCTTGGGAAACATCCCATCCACCTCACAGCCCTGATCACGGCCCTTCAGACTTCTTTTTGTTCCCCAAACTCAACATTTAAAAGGAACACGATTTGAGGCTTTTGATGTGGTATAAATCAAAGCGTGTGCCTAACCTAAGCCCTGGTATTTTCAATCATCCCACATGCACGCGAACGTTGCACAATGAATAAGGAAGACCAAAGAAGACTTGATGCATTTTAGGTATGATGGTGGAGAACACTGAAAGAACCACGGTCTGCCGGAAGAGCAAACGAACCTGTCTTGTAAGCAGTATAGCCAGAGTGCTCCTTAGAAGCCAGGACAGCAAGACTCCATCTCATTTCCTTCAGACATGTGATCAGGAAGGACTGGCCCCTGGAAAAAGGACACCATTCTTGCTAGAGTCGATGGTCAGAGAAAAAGAGGAAGGCCCTCAACGAAGTGGTTTGACATGTGACTGAAATGGGCTCAAACAGAAGAACTATTGTGAGCATGGTGCAAAACCTTTCTTTGTGTCAGCTGATGTACATAGATAGGGTTGCTATGAGTCAGAAAGTGATTTGGCGGGACCAACACCTAACAACAACAAATCAAAGGGTGCAGAATTCTTTGGGGGAAGGGGGAGAGATGGAAACACCAAGTTCAGATATGCATAGACCTGGATGGAGGCTGTGTCAAGAAACAATAGCTTCACTTATTGATATTTTTGTTCAATAAAGGTTTCTATGATTTTGTAGCAATACTTTTTGATTTTTATGAGTACAATGGTGAACTCTACATGGCTTAAAGACCTAAGTATGTGAACAAAAGCTATAAGGGAAATAGAACAAAAGGTAGGAGAGCATCTTTGTGGCAAGTGGGAATAAAGTGTATTCTTTTTTTTTTTTTTTTTGGAAAAGTATTCTTAAAAATTAAAAAAATATATCAAAATTAAGGATCCTTATTCAACCAAGGATAAAGTGAATAGCATAAATTCCAGAGTGGAACAGGCTATTTGCAATAGGCAACACCCAAGGGAGTAACATTTAGACTGTGTTCATAATAACACCAGAAGCAAAACCAAGCTCACTGCCGTCAAGTCAATGCCCGCTCACAGTGAGTCTTTAGGACAGGGTAGGACTGCCTCCAGGGTTTTGGAGAGTGCAGCACTTTACAGGAGTAGAAAACCCCATCTTTCTCCCACAAAGTGGCTGATGGTTTCAAACGGATGACTTTATGGTTAATAGCTCACCTCATAACCACTATGCCACCAGGGCTCCTTTAATATCACAGGAACCCTTGGCAAGCAGAAAGAAGAGGAATATAAGAACTTGGCCGAGAACCCACACCACCAAAAAAAAAAAAAGAACTTGGCCAATGGGACTATAGGCAAAAGATATAAGCAGACAATTTATGTAAGGAAACAAATACACGAAGAGATGCTCAAAGGCATTCTAAATCAGAGAAATATAAATTTAAAATGAAGGAAGCATGTTCTATCTGGCTGGGAAATTTTAGAAAGCTGGGTAATGCTAAGTATTAGGAGGGAAGGGAAAATGCAGGCACCTTCATACTTTGCTGGTAGGAGTAGACAGTGTACCCACTCCCAATACAATCTGACACGGCTTATGGAAATTAAATATGTTCAGCTATGATCCAAAAGAAACGTTCACACTGGCTTATAAGGGAGCATTTACAAGGCATTATGTATTATTGTAGGCAACCTGAATGTCCCTTGTTGGGAGCTTGGAGCATTAGAATGCCTGTACACAGCACAGAGTTTATGGTAACCATTAGAAACAACAGACGGATTAGCTGTACATGTGGCCACACAGATGGATCTTAAAAAGGATAATGCTGGTTGAAAAAATACTAGCACTGCCATTTAATTAAACATGTACAAATGCCAAACCTATGTGAAATTCTTTATTACATTAAATGTAGTAAAGTGATTGGCAATAGGAGGAACTGGGTGGAATTCAGGTGTGGGAGTGGGCCTCACATGAAACAAGGGTGATGGAATATGATCAGAGTGCAGACACTTTGAGTGGGGAGACAAGTACATTTTGGGGGTGGGGGGCTTCACCTAAGGCAGAACAGTATGTGTGTATGTTTATATGTAAGTATCTGGTCTGTGATTCACAAGTTCAGCAGTTCAAAACCACCAGCTGCTCTGAGGAAGAGAGATAGTCTCAGAAACTCATGGGGGCAGTTCTACCCTGTCCTGTAGGGTCGTTCTGACTTGTCGTGGACTCTCGATCGCAGTGAGTTATCTACGTATCTAATCAGTGTAAAATCTATTCAAGTCTGATCTGGGGAAAGACAGACAATTCCAATTTTTTGATGCACTCTGTGCTGTATTCTGAAAATGAGGGAACCTAGTCTGTGTTTTGGGGAGTTGACCCTTAGAAGCCTAGATAAATCCATTCTGTGGATAAGTAATCTAGAGTCTCTGAGGGCAAAAAGCCCATTTTTCCTTAATGGGGGGTCTCAAAAACAAAATCTATCTAGTGGATTCATTGTAAAAGTAATTCACACACTGAAGTCTGGACGAAACAAACAGAAACCACTCAGAGATTAGAATATCCGCCCTCTGAGGCTTTCTACTCCCATAAAGGGTGACAGTCTTGGAAACCCACAGGGCCAGTTCGATCTAGCTCATCGATCACGATGAGCTGGGGGACGCCAGGGATAACAGGCTGGTAGATACTGGACACAGAGGAGAAAAGGTAGAGAACAGTGGAAAGTCTGATGCCAGGGACTGAAGGGCTATGACTGCAGGGACCAAAAGCCGTTCCTGCAGAGTGGATGCTGATTCCTGGTGGCACAGTAAGTAAGCGTTGGGCCGCCAAGGCAACGTCAGCAATGAAAACCCCTCAACATCTCTGAGGCAGTCTGTAAAGTTGTGCAGGACTGAAAACCTTGTAGGAAAGTTCTGCCCTGTCCTATAGGACCACTTACTGAGTCAGAATGGGCTCAAGGGCACTGGTTATAGCTACTCAATAGGAAACCATAGGGTTTCCAACATTGTACTCTTTATGGAAGCAAAGAGACTCATCTTTCTCCCAAGGAGAAAGGGTGCCTCACCTTTCAGTCAGATGCTGAGCACCTAACCACTGCGCTACCAGGCTGGCCTCCTCACTTGCTGTTCTGACACATAGCAACACTATAGTTTCGATTAGAACAAGGTAGGACTGCCTCCTGTGAGTTTCCCAGAGTGTAACTCTTTACAGGAGTTAAAGAAAGCCTCCTTTCTCCAGCGGCGTGGCGGATGGTTTTGAACAGCCAGCCTTGAGGGTCCTAGACCAATGCATAACCCGCTATGCCAGCAGGGACCACTTCAGGGCGCAGGGAAGGATAAAAACGTCCAGGCCCATCAGAGGTTAGAGAACTAGGTCAAGAAGGTAGACACCAGGGTCGTCAAAGGATGTTAATTATGTTGTCCGACACCAAGAGGAAGGTAAATGTGACGGTGAGGATGTCAGAACCAATGGGGAGGGGCTAAGGATATGTTCTGGGACTGAAAGGAGTCTGAGACCGGAACCGTGAGAGAGAGAAAGTTAGTGTGCCGGAGGGATGATGACGTCAGGATGCACCAATCGCACACACATAGCCTCCATTCCCGGAAGCGCACCGAGCGCATCGTTCCTTGGCTCTCCCAGCCCTTCCTCTATCCCCCCGCCTCACTCCCCAACCCTTCCCCCTCCCCCCGCAGGTCTCAGCCAATGAGCGAGCACGCCGGCGCGCGCGGGGGATCACGTTCCGTGACGTGTACGCTACGTACGCTTTATCAAGCGTCTTCCCGCGCGCCAGCCTCCTCATTCTCGCTGGTCTTCGGCGCTAGCTGTTGTTGCTCTAGCCGTTCCGTCCCAGGTAAGCAGCGCTTCCCGCACGCGCGGCGGCACTTCTCTCACACGTACCTCGGGCGGCAGGGGTGTACTTGAGGCGTAAGGAGCTGGGCCTTTGAGCTTTCGGCGGGGGCTTCCCGGGGCCGGCGGGGCCTCGAATCGTGGGTAAAACGCTTCTGTTAGTGGGAGTTTGGCGCACGGTATCCGATGCGATGAATGCCGGGAGGGCCTGGCGGCATTGGTGGCGGCGGCGGTGAGCACGCGACAACCGAGACTTGCTACCCCTACCCCATTCCCCTCCCCACGTGACCGCCGCCATCTTGTTCTGCGGGCGCAGAGGGAATGCCAGGGTGTTCTGGGCCTGCGTGGCTGCACAAAATGACGGGCGTGGTGGCTGGGGAAGTTCTGAGCATGCGCGATGGCGGCCTTCAAATGGCGACCGGGCTGAGGGCGTCCGGCCGATTCCCGCCTTTTAGCACTCCCTCCCCAGTCTCCTCTTAATTACTCCGACTTTAGAGAATTTATTGGTAGCTCCACGTACCTCTCGCAATCATTTTCTCCACTTAAGCCCACCTTTCTCTTTGTTCTCGCCCACTTACACTATTTATCCCCCCCCCTTTTTTTTTCCTCCAAAGGACCCAAATTCACTGCCATGTCTTCTGAAGAAGGGAAACTCTTCGTGGGAGGTCTTAACTTCAACACCGATGAGCAGGCGTTGGAAGATCACTTCAGCAGCTTTGGGCCTATCTCTGAGGGTGAGTGAGATGGACCAGAACAAGAGGCAGGGAAGTGGAAACAAGTCGGGGTTTCTTGGAGAAACCTTCAAATTCTTCACATTACTAGACTTGTGTAGTTTTTTTAGGCTGAGAGAGAACCCTGTTTCAGGATCAATTGGGTTCATTTCTCAGGCCACCTCTTTCTGGGGTTAATTGAACCTCATTTCCCCATCTTTTCGTCAGTGGTGGTCGTCAAGGATCGGGAGACTCAACGATCCCGGGGATTTGGTTTTATCACCTTCACCAATCCAGAACATGCTTCAGATGCCATGCGAGCCATGAATGGAGAGGTAAGGCCTCCTAGCTGCAGACAGGCCCTGCTCCCATCTGCCAGCTTCTCTGTTCTTGTTTTTCCCTCTGTCTGCTAGGGGCAGCGCAGTGCCTACTCACGGGAGCGTGACTACCTTCTGTTCTAGGGGGTGGAGGGCAGCAGCAGACAGAGCCAGGCTGCTTGGGAGGCGACGACTGGTCCTGCATGAGGTCGAGAAGCCACCTGTGGATGGTTGACCCGCCCTGGGCTTAGGTAGTAGAGTCTGCAGACCTGCGGGCGTGGCCCGGAGAGGACCTCGTGAGTCTTCTGGGATGGACTCTGAAGCCTCAAACCAAGAGAGAGGTGTCTGTCTAGCCCTAATATGTGTTGGGCAGCTTAGGAGTGGGGAGAACTCACCCTGAGTTGAATTGAGATGTAAGTAGTAGCAGGGGAAACATGGTGAATTCAGGTCATTTTGTGGGATTGTGTAACTTCTGATAAAACCATTCTGGTCAAAGGACCTTGTTCTAGAACATGGCACCCAGAATCTGGTGCCTAACAGGAATTTCTGGGCTCCTCTGCCCATCCCCACTCTTCCCTTACCATGGCCCTGACTGACTGGTAACCTTGCCTTGTGTCTGCTTTCCACACCCAGTCCCTGGATGGTCGCCAGATTCGTGTGGATCACGCGGGCAAGTCTGCCCGGGGGACCCGAGGGGGTGCCTTTGGTGCCCATGGGCGTGGTCGCAGCTACTCCAGAGGTGAGTAGGGTGGTAAGTTTTGATCATTGACGGTTAGGGATGGAGCTTTGTTTAGAGAACTGCCAATTGAATGTTCTATTTGCTGCAGGTGGTGGGGACCAGGGCTATGGGAGCAGCAGGTATGACAGTCGACCTGGAGGATACGGATATGGATACGGAAGATCCAGAGACTATAGTGGCAGGTGGGTAGCCAAGGGGTAGAAATTTTCTGCTGTGCTTGCCTCTTGTGAAACAACCTGCATTTTAAAAAACTCTACGAATAGATTAAAGGTTTAACAAAGCAGAAAATTATGACTTACATGTTAAGATTTCACATCTTACACCGTTTGTTGTTCGGCCCCCTCAGGGAGGTGGGGGTTATACCTCAATCATTGAGGTCAGTTCCCCCTATGTAAAGAACATCTTGTTGAAATGTTCCAGTGTATGGTAAGGTAACCCCAGCAAACAAACCTAGTAGACGGCAACTCAGTTCTCCTGTAAGACAGATTAGAATTGCCATCTGTAGGATTTCCAGGGCTGTAAATCCTCCACGCTGTTGAAAACACCCCGTTAATGGCTGTGTGTTTTAACCACTATACCACCATGGTCCCTCATATTTGCAAGTATGTGATTGCCTTTAATATCGGTCAGGAGTGTATGCATTCTTACAACACAATTGTATGTTTTCTTTTTCCCAGAAGCCAGGGTGGTTATGACCGCTATTCTGGAGGAAATTATAGAGATAATTACGACAACTGAGATGAGGCATGCACATAATGTAGGTGAGACTTGTATGTCCCTGGCATGAGCCGATGTCTCGTCATTCTTCCCTATGGTGTTCCTCTCATCTCTTGCCGGGCTGCTCAGCATTTCCACTGTCCCTTCCAGTCCCTTTAACCACCCCCACCCCGTCCTAGACCTCCAGCCTCCCTCCCTTGCTCTGAAGTGCATGGCATTTGGGGGGGGGTTGGGGGAGGGGTGTTCGGAAAATCATCTACTTTTGCTGATGAGCAAGAGTGATCCAGCCCTCAGCATCCTTATCAACCCTGGGAGGTAAGCATGTTGTCAGCCTGTCTCTTCCTGACTCCACAATTTCCCCCCTTCTTACTGTTCTCAGATACACAAGGAATAAAAATTCTTCTGAACCAGGATCGTCCTTCCAGATGGCTGTATTTATAAAAGATTTTTGGAGCTGCACTGAAACATCTTTGTTTTAGTACATCAACTTCTATTTTTGAATTAAGCTCCCAGGGTAGCCTGTTAAAAGACCTTTTAGTAAATGCCATATGTTTTTAAAACTTTTTTCTCCCATTTAAAGACAAATTCTGCGACATTTGTAGAGTCTGGGTATTTTTCCTTTGACCAGTTTTCTAGTTTGGGCACTCAGGATTATTCTGGCAGACAATTTCAGCCGGGCCGATTTTCCCCCCCTTTTAATTATTGAGTATCTATAGGAACATTTTAAAAGTTTTGTACACAATGTTTCTTTTTCATGGTTAGAAATTTCCGAATGTACCTACAAGAAATCTGCATCGATAATGATTACTTAGAGGTGTTTTTTTACTCTACATTGAAATCACCACCCTGATTATATAGAAGAGCTTAAAAATGTTTGTGAATGTCAATTTTTTTTTTTAATACTGGAAGAAAAAATATTCTGTTGTGTTTCATGTAGTGTTTAGGATGTCCTTCATGGAGCCAATTAAAAAGATGAAATCTGAAAACCGATACTGACAAGTGCTGTTTCCTTAATATAGTTTTCAAATAAAAATAGAAAGAGGGAGGCTTTGAGAAAGATTTGGTTGGAGGAGTAAGCAAAGGGGGGGCTGGGCAGGTACTGGGGTGGGGATGGGTTGGTGACCAAGATTCAAATTTGGGAATGTTTAGGATCCATTGGTACAAATTGAATCCTGAAATACGGTGAGTATGTCAGGTGGGGTCAATACCCTTATGTTTGGGGTTGAGTTGACAAATGTTAGGTCACACTATGACCGGGGTTTGGGAGTAAAATCTCCCTAGACTCGAGGTATGAGGTGAGTATCTTCAAAGGTATTTTTGATAATGAAAATATGTGTCCGCAAATGGTGATGGGTTTCATTCAGTATTTCCCCAGAAATAATAGGTTTAAGGGAAGCTTATTACTCGTATGAGAAACGTGAAAGAGCTGGTTCAAGAGCCTAAACTGAATTTAGGTTCCACTATCAAAATCCAGTCCCTACTACCAAGCTACTTGGCCTTAGTAGGTCATTTAACTTGTGTCTCTGTCTCCTAGTAGGACTCAACCCATTTTAATCTATGCTGGGGCTAAGTAATAGGCATATAAAGCTGTTTCTGAGCACCTGGGAGAGCAGTCACAGATTGAACCTAGAAGAATTCCTAGTATTTCGTATAATAAAGATGGTGATGGCCCTATTTAGTCTGAGTTTGTTACTCTGATTGGTCTTGGTTCAATTCTGCTGGTCAATTTTTTGGTTACCTCTGGTTGACATTGCTTCAGTTTGCAACATAAAAAATATCTGGCATATACCTGCCTGGTTCTGTGCCAAGTCCCATTGGATTGAAATGGGGGCGGGTGTCATGGGGAAAGTGTTGATGGTAACCTTAAAGTTGGTGGTTTGAACCCACTTGCCACTTCTGGGGGGGGGGGGGAGGTGAGGCACCTGTTATCCATAGGGAATCCGCCTCAAACCCTATGGAATGATTAGTTCTAAAGTAGTGGTTCTCAACCTGTAGGTTATGACTCCTTTGGGGTGGGGGGAGTCGAATGAACCTTTCATGGGTCGCTTAATAGCAAATTTGCAGAGATGGAGTAATGAAAATGATTTTGTGGTTAGGGGGTCACGGCATGAACTGTATTAAAAGGTTGCAGCATTAGGGAGCTTGAGAACCACTGCTCAAGAGGGCTGGAATGGACAGTGTAAGTCAACTACCAGCTGAGGCCCCTCAGCATTGTCCCATGTCAACTGCTTTGGTGGTGCACGGGAATAACTTCAGATTTCCTGCCTCACCGGCTGAATCAGGCCAAAGTAAGTGGCATTGTGGTTATTCACACCACATGGGCACTCGAGACATTCTTTGCTGGGCCAGAGAGGACAAGCATATCTCCCCATTATGGTCTGAGGCAGCATTCTATTACCAGCCACAGTGTGTCTGCTATAAGGATCTAAGTGGGAGTGGTAGACCAGCGGCATTTCCAACTGCTGTTGGAAGAACATGCTCTAGGGATTTCAAGGCTGTTGACCTTTTGTTGGAAGCACATCTCCAGGCCTCAGTTGCAGCTACAACCGACCAGCAACTGAATTAACAGTAACTCCTGATTCTGGAAGTAACTTTGGAGGCCTGGTTTCCTGTTAAAAAGGTCCAGGTCAGGAAAAAAAAAGAAAATTTTAAAAAATAAAATTAAAAAAAGGTCCAGGTCATTCACATAGTTTTCCATCGTGCCCGTAATCTGGGCACTTCTAATGAATAAAGAGTAATCAATTCTATTCTAATTCTGATAATTGGTTGCATAGCCATTCTTACCCATTAAACTCATGGGCCCCTCGATTTTTTAATCAGTTGGTTAATCATATAGGTCACATGCTCAATGCAGAAATTCTTGACCAGTTAACTGGTTTTAAAGGTTTGATTGAGGAATCAGGTGGCGCAAACTCACGCACAGCTACTGACGAAGTGGCGCTTTGGAAGAAAGGCGCTTGCAATCTGCTTCCAAAAGCCCACAGCCTTTGAAAGCCCTATAGACAATTCTGTTTAACTGATTTACTCACCCAGAGGGAGAGTCAATGACAATTGGTTGTGTTGTTTTTGTTTTTGTTTTTTTTCTGGTTTGACAGAAACTGATTAATGTACAGGTTTCCAAAGAACCCCTTTGAGACCAGAAACCCCTGAATGTCAAAGGTATGTTGTATCCCAAGGTTTGTGCAGACCAAACTCCTAGCCTACAAATACTTTGTATTTTCAAGCTCTGGGTCTTAACCTGTCCCTGAAATCTTAATTAGCAAAGATAATTTTCTTTTCTTTTTTTTTCCAAACAAAGCTCATTTTCTGACATGCTCTCACCCCAAAGCCCATTTCAAGGTCCAAAAGAAATTGAAGGCTGGGCTTTGCATATGACCTTCAAATCTCAAACCATTGCTCCCACCCTATCTTGAGCAGAAATCTGCTTTTTCCTCACTTTGCCTTCCAGCTTAATTTCTTCTCTATCTCTATTCACTCTCTAAAATTGGAATAATCAATAGTGCCCACTTCAAAGAAGGATGGTTGTTGGGTGCCATGGAGTCACTTCTGACTCAGACTAAATGACTGTAAAGTACTTGGACAAGTCCCTGACATCCCCATATCCTTGCCCCACTGAAAATAGAGCGTGTAGAAAACTAAAAAGAGGCCTTAACAAACCTGATCTTGAATACTTGAGGTATGTAGAAAAGCTTATTAGATAATAAACTTTCATCAAAAGAGAACTTGACAGATCCCTTACCTACCTATATTCCTGTTCATCCCTTAGCAGGTCCACAATCCCTTTTATTATGATTCCAGAAAGCACAAAGTTCTGGAAAAGAAAAGTTAATCGTTTTTTAGTGGTAAAAGCTGACCTGATGCTTTTCAAAATCTTTTATTCTCAATAGCTGGCCTCAAACCATTAAAATGACCATGGAACCTGCATTATGCTTGTAACTGATGAATTTGGGTATGTGAAAATTCATTTTGTGTTTGTGAGTGTGAACATTTCCATAATAAAAGGTTAAAACAGTTGTTAGGGGTGTGATTTGTTTTGTTCCGTGCTATTTGGGAAGTGGGTAGCTATCAGGTGTTTTCTGTTGGCCTGCCTCATACTTCAGCACCTAGACATCTAGACCAGCTTTGGTATCTAGCATGTGGTCCATAAATGTTTACCATTCTTTCTTCATGGTTTTTATATTGGTGAGACCTGCAACAATCGGCACGTTAGGTAACGAGAAAATAAACTTGTGAGCTGTTAACTACAGGGCTATTTCCCACTCACCTCTGCTTTTATCAAAGAAGCTGAGTTTTCTCAATGTTTCCTAGGGCTAGACAACCACTAAGCTGCTCCATGAAACTGACACTAGTAATAAGATGTCCTACCATGTTGCCGTCATGGCCCTATTTGTATTGGTGCCCCACATCAGAAACATGAAAAGCTGGATATGGTAATAATCCGTGGAACCAGACAGCATTGCACTGGGTAGGCCAGCAAAAAGCCTTTGCAAAAATGTCACTTTTGAGGAGTAAGGTGCTATTTTCAGTCACCTCAGGCATATTCAAAGGACAATGAATGGGCAGACTGCAGAACTGATGCCTTTGAATTCTGTGGGTGAAGAGTACTGAATATACCAAAGACTGCCAGCGGAACAAATCTAGCGCAGAAATACAGCCAGAGTGGAAGGAATCCTTAGAAGCACAGAAGGCTGGTGAGACTGACTGCCTTGTGCTTTAAACATTATCAGGAGGGCCCAGTTCCTAGAGAAGCACAGGAAGTTTAGAGGCCACGTTAGAGAGGGTTGGCACAGTGGCTGCAACAATGTGTTCATCCCCAAGCTACAATTGTGAGGCTAGTGCAGGGACAGGCAGTGAGAAGGATTAATAGTCACTAGAGAAGATACTTGTTATGAAACTGCTCTAGAGGAGCTTGAAGATTAACTTGAAAACAATGTCGAATCTGGTAAATAGGGGAGAGGCTAAGAGCAAGGATCCTGGAGTCCCATGGCCTGGGTCTCAAACTAGCTTAGTCACTGACTGGCTATATGACCTTGGGCAGGTAACTTTCTCAGTTTTAATTTCCTTGTGTGACTTGGGAATGATACCAGCTTCATGGGGTTCTGAGGATTAAATGAGTTTTTGTATAAAGTACTTGCTAGAAAGGATCACATGTGTTAGCTATGCCCAAGCAATTCCAGGTGCCAGAAACAGTTTGCAGTTTTCAAAGCCTGTGAATGAAAGAAGACGAGTGTGTAGAGCATAAGTAAGATTTATATCGATGAAACTCTTGGTGGGGGGTGAGGGGTTGGAGGTAGTTCTGGGCATGTGTGGGCAGGTATGGCTGAGTTTTTCCTCAGCAGCTGGAAACCACTGTGGATTTTAAAGTGAATACCAGTCTAAAGGAGCCCTGGTGATGGAATGGTTATGAGTTCAGCTGAGATCCACAAGGTTGGCAGTTTGAAACCACCAGCCAGCCACTCCAAGAGGAGAACGACAGGGCTTTCTACTAGAGTCTCAGAAACTCATAGAGGGGCGGTTAGTTAGACCCTCTACAGGGTCGCTATGTGCCAGTTGATTCAAAGGCAGTGAGTTTGTTTTTTTAGGCACCAGTCCAGGAGATGGATCCAGAAATGGATCTGCAATTAGCTAGAGAGAGGAACAGCGTGGGGTGCCATTGTCCACACTGTCGGCTGGAACCATGAGATGGTGACTTCTGGTGTTAGGAAGTCGGTTTGGGCTTCCTGCCCAAGTCCAAATACTCGTTCTGTTTTCTCCATCTGTAGCTATGGCAGGTACTGAATTCTGCGCCTTCACTGCCCATCTTCAAAATGCGACTAAATATACTTCTCTCGTGCGGGTGGTGGTGGTGACAGTTAAATAAAGCAGTGCATTGGCTAAGGAGAGTGAGAATGGCTGAAGAATGTAATCAAAGTCACCAGATCATTCAGGTAAGCACTGTACTGCTAACTTCAAAGTCAGCTACAAAGTTAGCAGTTCAAACTCACCAATAAGCCGTTCTGAAGAAATAGGCTGGTAGCAAGCGTCGTCGCAGTGAGTCAGAATCAACTCGGTGACGTGGATTTCTTCACTGCATTAAAAAAAGCAATGATGTGAGCTCTGTAAAAGTAGGCTGTTGTGGAGGGAGCGTGGGGTAGAAAGGGGGAACCGATTACAGGGATCTACATGTGACCTCCTCCCTGGGGGATGGACAACAGAAAAGTGGGTGAAGGGTGACGTCAGTGTAAGATATGACAAAATAATTTAAAAATTATCAAGGGTTCATGAGGGGGAAAAATGAGCTGATGCTGGGGGCTTAAGTGGAGAGCAAATGTTTTGAGAATGACGAGGGCAATGAATGTATAAATGTGCTTACACAATTGATGTATGTATGGGTTGTGAGAAGAGTTGTATGAGCCCCTAATAAAATGATTTTTTAAATGGTTTTTTTTAAGTAGGCTCTCACCAGAACCAGGTGGAGTTTTTCTTAAGGAATGGGTGGTTTAGACCTTGGAAAGTGGTTCTTTACCTTTTGAATCAAATACTTGAACAACCTTACTGGTCTAATCCTCACAGCAACCACTGCCATTGTGTTGCCACTAATTCATAGTGACCATATAGCATAGTAGCACCATGTAAGATTTATGAGACAACCTCCTCTTCCACCTGAGGAGCCACTGTCCCCTAACTCGCCACGGAGTTGATTCTGACTCATGGCAACCCTGTAGGGCAGTGGTTCTCAACCTTCCTAATGCCGCGACCCTTTCATACAGTTCCTCATGTGGTGGTGACCCCCCAACCATAACATTATTTTTGTTGCTACTTCATCACTGTCATTTTGCTACTGTTAAGAATCGGGCGACCCCTGTAAAAGGGTCGTTCAACCCCCAAAGGGGTTGAGAACCACTGTTCTATAGGGTTTCTGAGATAAATCTTTAAAGGAGCAGCTAGCCTCATCTTTTTCATATTAGAGGCTAACTAAATGTTGGCTGGCTAATTTGGCTCCCTGGGGGCAGCTGTAGGGATCTGCTGATGCAGGCAGGGGCACATGGAGGAGAGAGGAGTCTGGGAAAAACATGACCTCTATCTGTTTCTCCATCATTTGAGTCATTCTTGGAGGTGTTCCCTTCAAACAGCTCTGACCTACCTCTCATTTCTGTCCTAACCTGTTTATGCATTTGACTGTGGACCTTCAACCATCAAAGTGTTAGTCTGGGTTGACTAGAGAAACAAATTCATAGACGCTTGTGTGTAAGAGCACTTTATATCAAAGAGTAAGTGTATATTAAGGAAACATCCCAGTTCAGTTCAAGTCTATAAACCCATATGTGCAATACAAGTCTATAAATTCTTCAGGCTCACGCAACACATGCAACAATGCCAAATGCAGGAAGATCACAGGCCAGTGGGTGGAAAGTCATGGATCCAGTGGCGATGTCTCCACATGGCTTCTCCAGCTCCAGGGCTCTGACTCCATCAGCCGTAGCTCCATGTGGCTTGTCAGCAGGAAGATGAAGCAGAGTGTGTGTCCCGCCTCCAGGGAGGAAGACAGGAGTTCCCAGAATCCTCAGGAGAAGGCCATGCCCACACAGAGGCATTATTGGCTATGACCTGATTGACAGGCTAGAATCCACCCCTTTGCAAGTTAACAGGAGATTATATAACTGCTACAGTCACCTTGACAATTAAATAGACTTGGATCCTCTTTGAATTAAGGGGTTTGAGCTGTTCTTGTAGATGTGATAGTAACAAAGGCTGCTTCTGTGAGCTGCTTCTGGTGACTTGATATACCCCAGGCTTAACCCCCCACATTCTGCTCACCTACCAACTTGCCAGTCCTGCAGATCAACTCTACCTCATTCCCAAGAAACTAAAAGTGCCTTCATCAGCTTCTGAAAACTCCTTTCAATCCAACGAGACCATGGAAATGTTCTTTTGTTTTTCCTAAAACAAATGCAGGAGCCACAGTGGCCATTCTAATTTAACACTCTTTCGGCACCATGACTACTGCTGGCAGGTGGAAATGTTCTTGGAGAAAGTTGGAAAAACTAATAGTTACCATTCAGTGTTCTAGAGGGAGAACAAAGAAACAAACTCGCTGCCATCAAGTCAGTACTGACTGACTCAGCAAGCCACTTGGGTTTCCCGAAGCCCACTCTTCTCCTCCAGCAGAGGGGTTGGTGGTTTTGAACTGCAGACATTGCAGATCACAGCCCAACTTGTAACCACTACACCACCTGAGCTACTTGAAAGACAGGGCTTTCTACACCTGGAAAGAGTTAACACTCTTGGAAATCCCCAGGGGTAATTCTACCCTGTCCTATAGAATCGCATTGAGTGTGGTTTGTGTGTTCCAGATGCTAGTCTGGGCTCTGCAAGAGCTCACTCATCCATCTAAATCATAACCCTATGTGTCAGTTTTCTTCAGATGAAGAGACTGAGTGACAGGTGTGAATGGATTTGCCCAAACCACATATTTGGCAGAGCCTGTGCCATTGACCAAGTTTTGCAGCTGTTTGTGCTGCCTCTCGATAGAATAGCAATCTGTTCACAGAGGCTTTTCTAGACAACAGGTAGAATTCCTACGGCAACTCTTGCCATTAGGTTGTTCCCTCTAGTATCTCATAGGCTTATAGGAATGAGGCTTTAAAAGTTAACTTTTGAAGTTTTAATATTCTAATTTTAAAAGGCAACAGTGACACAGTAAATCCCCTTCTTATCCCTCTCAGGTGATATCCTTCTACCACCTTGTCTCTTTGGAAGAAAAACGGTGGGGTGAAGAGGCAGGAAGGTTCGGAGTGAATGGGAAAGGCATTTCTAGTATTCTTTTTCTTTTTTTAAATACTTTTATTTTGGGGCTCTTACATCTCTCTTTTTTTTAAATCATTTTATTAGGGGCGCATACAGCTCTTATCACAACCCATACATACATCAATTGTGTAAAGCACATTTGTACATTCATTGCCCTCGTCAT